GCTTCAGTAATGTACATTTTATCTGAAAACATTGTATTTACTACAATATAAAGAGGTCATTATCGTTCAGCTACGTTTACCATTGTTCTTCCTTCCCTCCCCTCTCTTTCCAATGTCTTCCTAGAATTATCTAGTATATACTATGCTCACTTATTCCTGCTAGCACTAGATACAACACAGTTATGTTTCTTCCCCCAAGCTCAGTGTCCTCAGAGGAGTATTTAGGTTAAGAGCAGTTTATTCCTGGCTGAAACTGAAGCAATTGTGTGTGGGTTCATAAGCCCAGTTTCTCCTTTGCTTCAGGCAGCTACTAAAAGACAAGGTGATGTCTCAGATGGAGACGAAAATAGAGAGGTGCAGCAGTGGGGCATGAAGCATCCTTGCAGCTGCATCAAGGATGGTCCCCACAGCACAGACTGGTGTTTGTGGGATGGCAGCAGCGTAGGGGGTGAATGATCCTATTAACAGACAGAAACACACAGGGACATCTGGCCAAATGGTGTAATAAACTTATAGCCCTCTGCTCAGCTGCTCCCCGCAAACATGGAGAAGAAAAGCTTATGTGACAGCTGCTGGAGCCAAGAGCCTTCACCGAATAGTGGAAAGCAAGAGAATGCTGAGGATACACTATGAACTCAGTCACAGCTGTTATTTGCTTTTCAGGCAGTCACACCTGAATAAGGTGCTCTTCTCATCATATTTCCATTTCCTCCATACCTCTGCTCCTCACCATAGCTCTGTTTCCCATCATATCACACCTCCTGTCTGGGACAGGGGTGTTTCATGAGCAATGTTTGCACAGGTACCAGCCTGACTTTATCCTGATCGGAGGTTCTTGGTACTTAAGCAGCAATGACAGCAAATATTTATAGTACATTTAGTCCTACAAGAATTCTCTCCTTGAAGAATGAGTCTTTTGGGGTTTTTTTCATTTTTTTAATGTAAGGTTTTGCAAAGAAATGCATGAATAACTGTTCCTAGTTCATCTGTGTACAAAATGAAGATTTTCTTTGTAAGTGGAAAAGTATCCTTCTGAGAAGTCTTTCCTCTGTGGCTATGCCCTCACCAAGCAGATGGATACACAGCTGGCTGGGCATTACACAGTTATATAATTGGTAAATATAGATATTTAGTTTATGGATCTTTGGGTGGGAAAAGTGAGACAGGACTGAAAATACAGACCTAACTCGTGGATATGATGGAATATATGGCCCAGAGCAGGTTTAGGGCAGTGAAATTAGACCTGCACCTCCAGTGGCTTCAGAGTAATACTGGAAAGGAGAGAGTTAAAAATATATATGGCTTTTAACTTTGTATGATAGCTCCAGAAAGGACTGGGTCACCTCTGTGGAGAGGCTTCAGCAATATGTCATAGCTAATGATGTCAGTGCTGAGAAAAAGGTGGCAGTTTAAGTGACTGTAATAGGGGTAAAACCTCTAACCTGCTGTGCAGCCTAAGTGCTCTTGTTAAATCAGCAGACAAAACAATTTCTGGGAGAGAAATTTCCTCCGTGCCCAGACCTGCCAGCGATTGCAGTGATTCCCCACTATTACCAGCCTAAGAAAAACAAACCCATTTGGGGCTAAGTGCCTCAATTAAGGAAATTAGCAGAATGTCATCAGTTGGAGGAGAGCTGCAGTACCAGGGACCAGCTACAATAAAATACGTAAAACAACGCAATATGCAGCAGTCAGCATCCAGGGTTTATCTGACTCTAATGCAAGCATTAAAAGTAGTTGCTGTAATAGTGGCTGCTACCAGACATGCCAGAGAAGTGCAACCAATTCATAAAGGATGTTTAGCAGCTGCACTGGAGATCAGCCTGGATACACGGTATGTATATCCAAACTGCATGTGCTTCCTCTGCAGAGAACACTCTCACAGTGCAAGTAAGATGCTTTGTTTCCTTTACTTGGCTCAAGGACAGACTCCTTGGAAACACAGGTCACTGCAGACAAACCCAAACTCTGCCTACCAAGACTACTCAGAGTTTTCAGATGAGGGGTGGGAATGATCGACAGTCCATGTGGCACAGCTGTCTAATTTAGGTGATAAAAATCTACATTTTATCTGGATTCCTTTACAACTGGAGGAAGTACAATTTATAGTGAGGTTTGCTCTGGTCCTGCTGGTTTTGTAATTTCATGGTAGGATTATCAGAAACTGCTTGGAGAGATGAAGTTTGCAGAAACTTCAGTGCTTTTAATCCCCATTTCTCTCAGCAAAGATACTACTTATATGCTTTATGCGCCAAACTCAGCGTATGAACTACTTGAGAGGGAATGTCTTGGAGAAATGGGTTTGAACTCTGGTAGAGGAAATGGATCTGAGAGCAGAGAGGTATGGAAAAATTCATCTTTTTCTTCTCTATCTCAGTCTGGAGATCCTAAAACTTTTGAAATTGACTTGTGCAAGTCCCAGTGAATGTTTTTGTGCAAAACCATCTTACTAGTAGTTTGCTTTATGCTGACCTGGTCCCTTTAGCAGCCTCCCAGTCTTCCATATGTCTGGTGCTTTGTCTCACACTAGCTGTTTGTAGTTGTTTTCTCAGCAAAGTGGAGAGCTCTGTGTGCAATGTCCTGATCTATTTTGTCATGAGTTATTTTTATTTTCCATGATTTAGTTACTTGAAGATATTTGGTTCTTTTTCAGTGGTGTGGTGCTTTTCTTGCATATTCTGTGCTTGTAGAAAGAGTTTGTGTGAACAAAAGAAATCTGAAGGAGTCTGCTAGTTTGTAAATGGAAATAAGGTCACTTAATCATTTAAGTACTGGTAGGTTTCTTTAGTGTCCCAGAGATGATAACCGCTAGAACAGGTAGATGCCATTGTGAAACTGTGCCTGAAGTTCTTTGTGTCCTTACTTCTCAAAGAGGGATTGTCTAGAAGACTAGGCTATAAATTTGCATGCACATAGTTACAATCAACTTTGAGGGGAGCTTTTAGTAAGAAGCAGCAGAGGACTTCCTGAGACAGACTTTCTGGTGTTGATCCTCTGCAAAAGTGTTCCCTGGAAGTCTGCTACTCCACAGAGGTTGGAAGGGATTGGCTGCACTCAGGCAGGGAGGCAAACTGTGGGCAAGCAGGGCAAAATTAGGATGGTTTTTTTGTGTCTTGGTCTCTGAAACAAGCTCTGTGCCAGGAGGGTAAGTAACATCTAGCTGACCTCTGGGCAGGGATTAGTGGAAGGTAGTCTGTGGCATAAACTCAGTCATAATTTGAAGCAAAAGGAATATTGCCTTGTAGTAACATGCAGCTAATACAGTTTCTGCAGGAAAAGAAAAATCTGTCATTTTGAAGAGCTGATATATTTTCATATACTCGTGAGACAAACATTCTCCTAATGGAAATTTACTGTTCAAATACAATAGTTCTTCATGCAAAATGCAAACACACAACTTTGAGTTTCAAGTCCCCTTGAGGATGCTGGCACCTTGTTCTGCGATTAAAATATTTGCTTCAACTGCAAGAAGTTAATTTTAGGGTAGCTTATTATGCATTACAAACCTTTTTAATACTGATCGTAAAGCTTGTGGAAGAGAGACATCTCCTATTCGATTTAAAGCACTGAAGTTGTTATATGTTATTGATAAATTTACCTCAGCATGGAAGCTCACACTTCCAATACACGGTGATCAGTACCTCAGCAGTATTTGAAAACTATAGCTGCATACATTGGTGTGTTTTATTTTTCTTTTTTGCGCAATAAAATGTGATATGTGGTAGATGCTAACTTCGTCAAGGCACTGATTTGGGACTTTTTAATGTCATAAAACCTCTGAAGCAGAGAATTGTGCAACATGAAACACTGACATAGTGCCTCTGGAGCACCAGCGCAAAAGCTGCCTGATGAAGATGGGTTATTTGTGGTGGTGCCTGGAATTACAAACAGTGCAGAGTTCACTTGAACACACACAGAAACTCCCTGAACTTGCAGAACTTTCCAATTACTCAATGTGGGAGTAGTTTGACAATTCCCCTCTCTTTCAGGGTGGAGGGAAAAAAAGGAGGGGAGGAGGAAATGATACTTCAGAGAAGCAAATTTTCTGATTTTGAACTTGAAATAGTTATATGAAAATTGTTGCAGTGTTGACAAAAGGACAACTGTTTTTTTAAATAAACTGTGGAGTGCTTGCATCTTGTTTAGTCATGCAGATATGTAAGTGCTGCAGGAAATTGTTAGCATTGAACCTGATTCTGCACAAGCTGCTGGAGGAGACCAGTTACAGGTGCAACAACTGTTTGAATCAAAGTTTTCACCCCAAAAGCACTATGGGAATGTATGATTTAATGTAAAGCAGTAGCCAAGCATTTTCTAGCTTCTGGAGCCACGAACTTCCAAAACTTTTCATAAAGTACTAAATTTCCTTTATAGTTGTGCCATGCTGTGTAAACAACAACATCAAAACTTAAACTTTAAAGTATTTGGATTCAAGCCCCAAAGTTCAATATACATTATGAACTTTAAAAAAAAAAAAAATCATTAAAATGAGCAACAGGGAAAACTTTCTTTTTAGGACTTACTTAAATTTTCCTGAAGATTTATGTTTATTGCTTTTACACCTTCAGCTGGTAGAAATTACATTATGCTTTCATTACCCACTTCATCTTTTAATATGCTGTAGAAAGTCATATGAAAGTGCCAAAATTAGCACTGTCGTCCTCTGTGTTGTCTGTTTTACTGCAGCACAGAGCTGTGATATACTCAAATAACATACCTGTGGTGTCTGTTACTAACACAGTCTCCTGTTCTGTTTGACTCGGACCTCACATGCATACAAATTCATTATATGCATTTTTCTTTTTCAAGGAAGTATATGTTTGGAGCATCAGCCATTTACGGACATATAGCACACACACAAAAAAAAAAAGCAGTGGATTCTTTTAATTCTTTACCCCTTATACTAATAAAAATTACGAAGGAAGGAAAAAACCAACACAGAAAACACAGCTCCCCCGGCATTACTCACATTGCAGTAGACAGCACAACTCTGTACTTACAGATCTTAACAGTGAAATGTCTCAGGATCTTTACAATTTTCTGTAGAACTGTTTCAAGCTCTCAGCAAGCCACAGTGTTCATCGAGGCAGAACGGAGCCGTATGGAAGGTCTATGCAGCTGGGAGATAATAGAACTATTTTCCCAGCTGGGACTACAAGCCTTTTATCCACTGAGCATTGTGTGTCTCTTCACTGGTATTAACTGTGAAATACACTGCTTTCCTGTTGCATTCATGTTAGTACCCACACAATTAGTGATTGAATCAGATAAACACCCACTTCAGTACACATATTCGTATCTGGAAATCCTGAGGGTATGAAAATTAGCTCTGTGTGATCATCCCTCAAGAAAGCTGAGAGAGTGAAAGCGCAGCTGTCATACAAGTAACATGGAAGATTAAATGTGCTGTTGTTATTCTTTTCGTACAAATATGAGCTCCTGTCAGGTAATCAGAAGCCTCTCTTCTTGAAAACAGGGTCAGCACTTGGTATTGGGTTTGGAACAGGAATGGGAATAATTTTGTTTCGTCCTGAGTCTAGGTGCTTCCTGGGCTCCATAAAATTAAGCTCACAGGATGCGAGTTAATACTTAGATTTCATCCCAGCACTGACTGTCTTCTTGTAACTACCGCTCCATATTTTACATATTCAAATATAGCCCCAAAACTAAAACCAGGGGACTTGTTTGTCTATAGTAGCACAGCCGTAAATCCTGATTATGCATAAACCTTTTTAGATTTCCATTTTTCCTCTTGGGACTGCTTCATAGAATCATAGAATAGTTAGGGTTGGAAAGGACCTTAAGATCATCAAGTTCCAACCCCCCTGCCATGGGCAGGAACATCTCGCTTGAGCTCAAATGCACCTCGCAGATCTCAAATGAAAAACTCAAGACAGGGGAATGCCTTTCCTTTAGTAAGCAAAAGCTATTTGTATTCACAGGCAATGGAAGTGGAAACAGGAGTTTTCAGAATGTTTCTGTCAAGAAAAATGCAACTGTGTCACAGGCATTGTTTCATAACATTTTAATGTAATCTTGGCATAAATCTATTAGTTTGTGATGGGATTAATTGCCTGTCTGTGCAATGGCAAGTGGAGAGGTCAGGCGGCAAGAAAACACAGCAGGATGCAGATGCTTGAGTAGACCAAAACGATAATTCAGTCAACAAAAAGGGAGGTTTCTGTATCTTTTATAGTTTGAATTTGCCCCTCCTATAAACTATGAGTGTATTCTTTCATCCTCTTAGTTTCCAGCACAGTCTCTGTCTATGGAGAACTTGCACTAGGGATTAGGTGGTGTCTCCTCTGGCTCTGCCACAGTGCTTCCTCCCTCCCCTGATGTGGTTTGGGTGTGCTGAGGTGCAGTGGTTCATTGCAGTGTGACTGTGCTTCTGTGCTCATTGCCAGCACATGCAGAGGCATTGCTGAGTTAAACAGTGAGATTGCTCTTACTTGAGGTAGCTGTTGAGTTAGGATACCCTTGAAGAAAGATGAAGTAGCAATAGCAGGAGACAAGGAAAAGATGTTGTCTTTCCTAAGAGGAGAAGAGATTTCTATTGACCATCTGCAGAGGAAGATGGTTTGTTGGACCTGATTTAAGTCCGTTGGAGGACTTATGACTATGGAAGCACCTCAGCTTCAGGTCTGTTCTTCATTTGTAAAATGAGGATAATGGGACTATGGGAACTTATGGGATGTGCACTGAAGTGCCAAGTATCTTCTGCCAGCCCTGTGGGGCTGGTATGGTGAGTACTCCTTTCTTATTTCAGAATTCTCATAGCCATCCTTTTCACGGACACCCCCTTGTCATGGCGAAAGAGCTTGCGTGCCCTTGTGAAGTTGGGAGTTATGCTGGTGGTGGCTTATGCTTCTGGTAGGGTCTCCCATGCCAGTCAGGTCTCAAATGAAGGGTCAGACAAAGTGTGTCCATGGGCAGGATGGGCTCACTAGCCTTCAGGCAACCATCCTAGGAGAAGGACAACTCCAAAATCGGGCAGATGGAGCTCGTATAGCCCTGTAAGGCCATCTATCTAAGAGAAGGATACTCTAATCAAACCTACGACCTGAGGACTTTGCTGTCACCGTCCAAGCTCGCTAGGCCCTGGCAGATAAACCTCAGGTGTAAAGGGTGAGGCCAGTTCTGCGCACGCTGTGCCTCACCTAAAATAAATCCACTGCACAGGCCCAAAGGGTTTACCCACACTTGCAAAGCCCTGTAGCGACAGGTGAGGGACGAAACGGCAGGTGATAAGGTGCACTGGAAGTCGCAGACCCAACCCTGCATGCAGGCGGTTCAGGACATTGGTCGCTCAAGTCTGACCCAGGAGATGACAGTCTTGTTTGGCAGCATCCTGAATGACCAAGCAGCCTTTTTCAAGGACAGCACTGCTTGCTCCATATGGAGAGAGGCCTAGAAAAGGTGGCCTAACCAAAGCTCATCTCTCCCTCCACCTGGCTGGCTAGCCGCGGCCAACGGGCATCTTCTATTGCGGTCAATTAAAGACAAAGAGACAAAGGCATGTACCTGCCTCCAAAGGTGTGTCCAGATTGACACTCGCATGTTGGAACATCAGAACCATGCTTGATACAGCGAACAGTGGACGTCCTGAGCGCCATTCTGCGCTAATTGCCCATGAATTGTCACGACTTAACATCAATATCACTGCTCTCAGTGAAGTTCGCCTTCATGAGGAAGGTATCCTCAAAGAACATGGTGCTGGCTATACACTCTACTGGTCAGGCAAACCCAAAACTGAAAGTCATCTTTCTGGAGTTGGCTTCATGATTAAGAACTCCATAGCCTCTAAACTTGAAAATTTGCCGATAGGTCATTCCGACCGTATTATCTCCTTACGTCTTCCACTACACAATAAGCAACATGTTGTTCTTTTCAGCATATATGCTCCAACTCTGCAAGCTGACCCTGCATAGCCATCCTTCTTATTAACATAAACAATTTTAGACTTCCACTGTGTGAGCTTCTCAAATGAGCTTTACTGACAATCAATTAAGCCTTGCAGCACCTTCTAAAGTAGACAGGCATTATAATTAGCAGTTCTACTTTTAATTAGGAATAAAATTTGAAATGGAATTGTAGGTATTTCCTCATTAAAATTTTCTTTTAAATAATGTCAGTGTTTTTTCTAAGTTGCATAGAGAGTGAATAGACAGTGGCTTATAACAGATTGAGCCAAGCTTCTCATCACCAATTTTAAAAGTTTATTAACAATCTAATCTTTCAATGTCAAACCAAATGATTTTGCTTTTACGTTGGTTGTCTAACAAGACTGTCTGAGAACAGAACTTCTCAGTTGCAGAGGAAATTAATGTTGTTAAAACTTTTTCATTTCCAGCTGTGAATGGAAACAAACATTTTAGAAATGTGCCTTCTAAAGGTGGAAAATTAATTTCAAGATCTTGTTTCCAGGAATGACTGAAACAGTTAAATGTATGAATTTTGAACTTCTGAACCTCTGAATTGTATTTTTTAATTAAAAATTATGAAGTCCTAATTTAGAATTTCTGAACTACATTATACCCTATTAAACATTATGTCTATAGCTTTTAGAAATTATACAGAGTTATGATAAAACTGAATATAAACCAGACTGTTCCTGAAGGTCAAGATAAAACATTAAAATTTTACCAAAATGTTGTGGGTTTGCCCAATTTTCTCTCAAAATAAATTTTTTTTGATGATTCTTTGTCAAATATTTTGCTTCTGAGAAATTGCCATATTCTGGCAGAAGAAGCTGTCTTAACACCTTTTTTAAAAAAAACAAACAAAAACCCACAAGCAAACAAACCCCCCATATTCATAAAAAAATCCTACTTAACATATGTAACCTAGCTGTGTTTCCAGCTGTCTGAAGCCCCTTAAAAGAACTTTTTCAACCATAAAGTCCTTTTGTTATTCTTGTTTGGGGTTTTGACAGTGTTGGAGCATGAGCACTTGCTGCTCTGTTATAAAGCAATCTTTGGTGAGGCTTAAGCAACTTCAGCAGGCTACGACGGGGACTCTGGTTGCCTCAGAAGTTGGCCTTCAATTACATAGTGGCAAAAGTTTCCCTAGATCAGAGTGAACTACACAAAGTTCTTGCGTACCTTTCAGGACAGTTATAGACTAAAAATAACTTGGAGATAGAATCTGGAACATAAGCTGGAAGACAGAAGAGAATTAGCAGGAGTTGGGACAAGGTGTTTCTTGCAGAAACTGCCATAGAAGGGTCTGGAAGATGCTTTCCTCTCCTGTGAAAATTGGAGATGCCTTCAAATGATACACACATCCTTCTGTAAGAGCTGTCGCTATGCCTTCAAATGGAAATAGAGCTTTCCAGCTTACTGCTAACTTCCTGTGGCTGTGTCAGCTTTTCTATCTCTCCTTTAGACCGGGTAGATAAATCCAAGATATCTTAGCAACATTTAAAGTGAATTAGATCAAGAACTAATATGATCTAGGCTTTTTCCACTGTGCTCAAACAGCAACTTGCCCTTGAGCTAGTCCCTATGATCACAAAGGTAAAATTTAAGGCCAAAGATGAAACTCCTTTGAACAAAGGAATGTGATTGCATCCCACGAAGTGCTTTATTCAGGCACTGCCACCTGCTGCTTCAAAACTCATCTGTTAAGCAACCTAAATTGCTATTTGGCACTTTCTCTGTGCATAGGGCTTTGGTTGATCTAAAAACTTCTATCATTGTGAATCTGTAGGCACTGCTGAAATAAGATTGAAAATTAATTTTGCAGGGCTTATCCTTATTCCAGAGGCAAAACTCCTAGGTCTGATTTGCTAACTGAATAGGTTTGGGTACAGGTGGCCTTACTACAGGCATCCTGTGTGATGTCCTTACCTAAAGCGACTGCTCACTGCTTTTGTAAAACTTCACTTGTGTACTGCCAGCAGGTAATTACTTTCCAAATTATTGGCTTAGTTTTCCCCCTCAATCCTGTTAAATATAAATTGCAGCACACAGTAACTGCAAAGTAAATGTTAGATGAATGTACCCTTGCAAGTTTTTTTAATACAGAAGTGATGCAATTTCAAATACATGCAGTTATACCACCTTTGTCTTGTGATATTCCTGAAAGTCTTGTCAGAGGCAGACATTGAAAAACATAGATAATGGAAACCTGAGAACAGTAATTCATAATAATTCACTTGCATTATAGTGAAAATGAAAATGTACTATGACATTAATTGAGCCACTGGACAAACTGGGTAGCTGAAGAGTGCATAATGCAGACATTGGGGAATGATCTGGTCTTGCATAAAGGAGGTATCAAAATCACATAGAAAATGGAGTTTTGTACCCCTGAGCTTCCAAAAAGTCTGCTGTTGGAGTAGTGCGGCTTTCCTTCAACTGAGTGACAGCTAAGAAAACCCAGACAAAACCAAACCACGCAAGTTTTGAATGACTCATGAGTAAGAAACTG